TTCAAGATCTAATGACTCAGTAAATTAACGTGATTAAAAAGAAACTTAAGATAAAAGTGTTTATATTAGCAAAGATATTTGAGAACGTGTTGAGTATTAAATTTTGTGATCTTGGAGTTCTGCGTGTTAAGTAAATACACGGGTAAAAATTCTGTGCGAGATAAAATTCATGCACGGCGTGCGCGCGCGTATAGAGACTGGTCGAGCATAAGAGTAATTTGAAAAAAGACGAAGTTAGCGCGCGGTGAAGGGCAACGCGCGAATGATTTTCTACAGGTAGTTTAAAAATGGCGACTGACAGGTACGCGTTTCCTCGCATGCACGGCGCCGCGACGAGATCAGAAGCGACGTGATTTTTGTGGAATTAAAAGCAAGAGGTTCATTCAGCCTCTTCAATTCAATCTTACTTAGTGGAATCGTTGCATCGGAGAAATCTTACGAATTATGTTACGTTTTCATCGATCAACATAGTGACTTTCTCTCTTCGCTACGTCGTACTCGCGAGTTTCAGCACCTTTTAGTTCAGTTCCACACGACTAAAAATTTTCTGCCTTCATCGCGGCTGTTTTCCGAGCCAACGAAAAAAAAAAGACGAACGAATGAACGAACGAGCAAACTTCCGCATTCCATTGGATCGCGAACGAATAAGTGAACGAAAGAGCAATCACTTGCCGATGTGAGTAGATATCGTGATTTGACACCCCCAGTTCTAGAACAGATTTCTTTCACCTGCGTTAACTCTCCAGTTACAATCGCGAAATGGCAAACATATACGCACTTCCGTTTCTAATTCACTTCCACCGATATTTTAGTCATTGTTAGCACAGTTTTTTTCTCCCCCCTCCTCGCCTTCATTTCCTTATCTCACCTATTACTTTCCTCTTTTATATGAGGATTATATTATTTTGTCCATACGTCGAGATAAGAGACGAAAAATAAAGAATGAGAAAACAATGTCGTCCAATACAGTATATTTGCATATGTATGTTTTTTTTTCTTACCTATTGAAACCTTTTAATTGTATAGCTTGTTAATAGAAAAGTTATGTCAGTTCATGTGCAGAATAATTTAAGAATTAAATTATGTTTTCATTTTGTGTTCAATTCATTATATGTAATACTGTACAGTTTCTCATTATTGTTGTTAATTACTTTATTAATTTTTAGTACTAATCCTTGTGAAAAAATTAATTTTATGTCAAAAATATTATAATTTTATGTTCATTTGTAATTATGGTAGTATTTCAATTATATCATATCATTTGTAAAAAATATAAATTTTATTAAAAACAAATTCCAGAAAGTAGCTCTTTCAGAATTATCAAGTACAAATGTATTCTTTTTATAATTTTGAAAAAATATATGTAATTAAATTACCTTTTATTTCAAGAGTAAAATTACAAACCAATGTTAACTTATTGTTACTGGTTACATGATGATTCAAACAAGTATTTTGGAACATTTGTGTAAACAATGTACGTTTACTTACCTAAGTACTTGATAAGTGTGACAGAGTTTTGGATAAAAGCATGATATCATTCACAATCAAATACCCAATGAAAAAGTGGCTAATTTCATGCAGGTTTTTGAATCTGAAAGAGCAAAACTTGCTATTATGTCAGAATGATGTCTAATGTTTATCGCAAAATTTTAAAATATCTTGGAATGCATTCATGGCTTTGCAAGTGTAAAGGTAAATTGGTTAGAATCCAAATCCCTTTTTTTACCATAGTATTCCTGTTAATAATTGTACCCTATCAATTTTAGACTATATTGAAATTATCAATACCCCGTGATTTTAAACAATACATGTAAAGCAAAAAATAATTTATACCTTTTAAGTAGGTAAATACAGCTGTAAAAATTACAAGCATATAGCCATGGAACATTCCGATTTAGTGGCAGAAATGGTGCATATAGAAAGGTTAACAACTCAAGAAAGGTTGCATTTGGCCCGTCACAGAAGACTCCAACAATTGGAAGTATGGCGTCAACGTGAAAAAGAATGGTTGAGACATCAAACCAGACATACAAGCAACAAGCGTCACATATATTTCAGTGACAGTGTAATGCTTTTAGAAGCTGCAGCAAGAAATGATATTAATGAAGGTAATAATAACATAAATTTTATAAAATCATTTACAATTACATTTTATGTAAGCCACTACATGAGTCAGCATATTAAAAAATAGCATATGCCTTAGTGAGAAGATTACTAAAAAAAGGAGTAAATCCAGATTCAACAAATGAAGATGGATTGACAGCTTTACATCAGTGTTGTATAGATGATAATGAAGAGATGATGAAATTATTAATTGAGTTTGGAGCAAATGTTAATGCAGAAGATAGTGAAAAATGGACACCATTGCATGCTGCTGCTACTTGTGGCCACTTGCATTTAGTTAAAAACCTTATTGCTAGAGGTGCCAATTTATTAGCTGTCAATGCTGATGGTAATATGCCTTATGATATTTGTGAAGATGAGAAAACATTAGATTGCATTGAAGGTATGATTCTTTGTAACATTTACCATAAAAAATTGTTTACAAAAATGTAGGATAAGAAGAAAATATCATTAAAAGATTTTTAAATTTTTATTTATGCATACAATTATAGGAGAAATGGCAAGACGAGGTGTAACTCAAGAATTAATAGATGAAACTAGAGCTTCAATAGAAGTTCAGATGTTAAGAGATTTACAAAACATAGCTTCTCTAGGCGATGATCTAGAGTATAAAGATCATCAGGGTGCTACACCTGTATGTATGCTAATTTATTAAATGTATAATTTATTAGAAATAATTAATTTATCATACAATCCTTTCTTCTTTCGAATTCTAGCTTCACATTGCAGCTGCAAATGGTTACCTAAGGGTAGTTGAGTTTCTTTTAGATCAACATGTTTCAACTGATGTTGAAGACAATGACAAGTGGCAACCAGTCCATGCAGCTGCATGTTGGGGTCATGTAAGAGTTGAAATATATTATATTTATTAATGAAGTCACATATTATTATGTTATATTATTTTCTACATTCATTTGTATCGTTTCAGTTAGAAGTTCTCGAGTTGTTAGTACAAAATGGGGCTGACTTAAATGCAAAAAATAAACATGATGAAACTCCAGCTGGTAAAAATGTTTTTACCAATAAAACTTTAAAACTTCTTCAGTACTGACATTAATCGAATGTTAAATTTAACTTCATAGATATTTGTGAGGATCCTGAAATTAGAGAAAGAATAGTAGAACTTAAGACAGAACAAGAAAGTAAACGATTACGAGAAGCACAGGGAAGACGAGTACGCAGATCTCAAAGCATAAATACACGTACTCAGAGCGTAAGAAGAACTTCGATAAGGGATAAAGTGTTGACTACGAAAAAAGATGCCCAAGAGGAAGCTCGTCTTAGATTACAAGCACAACAGGTAGCAAATAAAAGCGAATCTTTTTTATTAATTATGTAATATTAAAAATATCAAATATGAAAAGAAATTTTGTTTTAGACATATGTTGGCGGTACTACCGCAAATGTTCCACAAACAGAAAGTGAAGCTAACGTACGAGAAAATACAAATAGTGAGACAGACTCGAGTGCACCACCAACAGCAGTGCGCAAAGCTCCTGAGGGGAAGGATAATGAATCTTTCCTTCATGAAGACGTCGATAAAGAATCAGGTATATTCCAAAACATGTTACACTCGCACTGGTTGTGGTTAAGTAGAATCTTCTGGTAAATGGTAGTTTTGTGCATAAAATCGTGTAAAAGAATATGTTAAGTGTCATGTCCATTTAAATAATGCGTTTAAGCGCATAACTCGACCTTGGTAACGTTGCATAATAATTGCAATTTTATATTTACCATGCGCTTATTGTGTTCAAAACAAAGCATTTTTTAAAATAATCTTTAAATAATTTTTAATAATTCGAAGAATTGATTAAAGACTGATAATTAAAAACTATTTATAACGATCATTATGATAGTATAAAAAATTTGGTGCAGTAATTCTTACCTATAAAGTATAAAATAAAATATTAAGAATGATCATTTATCAGCCCTTTCTTTTTTCTGTTACTACTGCGTTGTGCTCCTGAATAATTGCGAGGTCAGTTTTCTATGTCACTTTCCTGTTTCTTTAAACGTACTTTCCAACACTGCGTTGTATTATTTTTTAACTCCTTACATTATCGTACGTTTCGAAATTTCAACTCGTAACAGTTCAATTATTCTTATATGTGCTGTGCATACATAATGTTTTTCTCCTTGAAAATATCTTTCTATTGTAAAAATGTTCCTCCGAATCGAATTTTTTATGGCAGGGGCTAATCTGCATTGGCTTTTTTTAGCACTTTATTGCAAATATGTTAGCATTTGGTAGAGCTTATTGGTTGTTATATGTGAGGAGGCATTATAATAAGTTTGACAGTTCATTAAAACAAGTTCTGGTAATATTGTTCTTATATGAATACAATTTAGAATGTTCTAAGCTTAAACGCACATCTACATTACACAAGTAACTTAATATCCTCTATATATACAAGTAGGATCAAGATGACTCTATCATGTACTTTTAAAATAACATTTATCCCTAAGTTACTTCATGAAGTACATAAACTATTGCAAATGTAACTTCATTTGGTAATAACGTTATCGGTATTCAAGAATTCATCAGATAAATTAACTAAATTTTAATCTATATTGTGATGAATCAATAATTCAATGAATATTGTCATGTATACTTATTACATATCATAGAAAAAACTGTTGATGAAATAAAACATTAAACATTAAACATATCAATTTGCTTTAATATATGTATTAGGTTTGTGGAAAAGTTCTCTTTTTCCTTATTTACTTGTGTTGTAATGATAAACAATTAAGATTAATAAATATTACAATAGCTATTACTATTGACAAATATTTAGACTTTCAAGACAGTTTTTCGTTTTATATATTTGTCCTTTATTAATTTCATTTTGATAATAAGATAATTTTTGCATCATAGTCCTATTGAATAATTATAAAATATACAAAATGTTAAATTGTATGCATAAATTTTCGTTAAATAATGAACTAGAAAAACATTGCCAATAACAAGAATCAGCATTGAAACAAAGACTTAGGTAGATGTATGAAGAAGTATAGAACTAGAACTTTTTCACGTACCTAAAATATTGGTTGTGCTAATGATCAACCGTATTCACTCAGTGTTAGTTACATACTCGCGCAATGTATCTTCCTGTCTTTTAATTTTATCGCTAAACGATAAAGTCGTTACGAGGTCAGTTGTGTCACGACATTGAATCGTTTTATGTTATTGTAGTTACTAACAGGTTTTTAGTACAGATTCCGCATCAAATCGATCATACGGATAAAATGTAACATCATTACACACTATACTTGCTTTCGGTTAAAAGTAGAATGTTATGTAATTAAAAATCTTAATAAATTTTTTATTTTAAATCTTAATGTAATTACAGTTGTTTTCAGTTTTTAATTTATGCAACATAAGAAAGTAAATACGTACATTGTAGGTAAATAAATTTGGTTTATTATTACTGTAAGAATGCTGATATTTAATAATATTGTATAATATATTTGCTACTTCGTTTAAGAAGTTTAATTCATAATAATATCATTGAAACATTTATACTGTTTGCTGTTATATTTTAATAAATTTTATTGCGTTTTACCTAAATTAAAGTTAATGCTTTCAACAAATGATTGATTTGAAATGGTCTATCATAATAAAAAGTATGTTTGGACATTGACACAGTTCACAATGACATTATTTCAAATTCCTAGAAAAACATAAAATAAGTGATTTCAGTGTTCCAGAGAATCCAACTGTTGTTTGCTTTGTATGTATATGTTTTTGTATGCAACATACTGCATACAAATATTAGATTGTAAACTAAATCTTTTGTGTTCTATTTTTGCTGACAAGAGTTTTATGCAAATGTTATTACATTCATGTTGGAAAGCTTATAGATTTAGTTTACAATTTGACAAGATAATGAACACAAGTAACTATATGATCTATTCTTTGTTGGGGCAAAGAGGAAATGAAACAAATTATTATTACAACTGCCCCTCCCCCTAAAACAAAGAGTTCGGAAACGATAATAACTGCGAATATTCATAGATAGAAGGTAGGAAATGAAAGAAAGTGTTTGTGTAGAGATATGTAGATTTTAGGAAATACATTACTGGCGCTGCGTTGTGCAATGTTTTTAATGCTTATCGCTAAAGCATGTAACGCTTAGCGCATGGCTGCTAGTTTCCGTACTAGTCGAGTTTTTTTTGAAGTGCGATTTCAGTGTATAAAAAAAAGGGTATTAGGTGGAGGGTAACACAAGGTGGAATGACGAATGAGGTGGAATGGAATGAGAGGGAAGAAAATCAAATTTCGCGTGAACCACAAGCAGGAAAAGTAGCGTTGGATTTACATGTTTGCCTCAATAGTGACAGGATCCGACCCACCGGTCGGTAATCAGCAGTCGATCTACGCATCGGATGGAGACACCAACGGGAAAATCAACATACACGTCTCGGTAGTTTTTGTCAAATCATTGTCCGATTTGAAGAAGCAGAGGGCACAGAATCGGCATATATCTGCAGGATCGATAGATGCCAATGGAAATGGTATTCCTGTGTCGTCTATCTCCAATTCCGAACTGAACACTGGCGGAGATTTTCAGCGATTCACCGGAAATACCAGCGACATTGTTGGTGATAATCATTCCGAAAAAAGTTGCTGCAATTTCATGTAATTCTTTTCATTCTTCTAGATCGATCTTTCCTTTATAATGCATTTAATTCCACTTTCACACTTCTCTTCTGTAACTTCAGTACCTTTTTCAATGTGTACTTACGAATCTATGTATTTCTTTTATACAAAATCATAGACAATTGTCCCAAACGAACGAGATTCTTTTCTGAATATGGTGCAAACTAAGCACACTTTGATCTTTACTATTTAAATATTCTCGAATGTTTCGTGCAAATACTTTTTCCTAAACTTCGATTAATTTTGCGAGCTGTTTTCGTTCGATGTCGAAACAAAATCGCGTCAATTTTGTTTAGACATTGGTCTCGCGAAATTGAGATACGAGATTATATATATTTTCGATATGTCTTGTACTTAAGTAAATATTTAAGTAAAAACTGCGATATAAGAGAGTTTTATCTGAATTCAGAGTTAAGTTTTGAATATGTACAGAATTTTATTTATTACTGCGTAAAAATAATGTATATTTCGAACAATAATTATTGAATTGTATATTGAGGCAAAAATGCATTTTTGCGACTATTGTGTATGATATAGTACAGAGTATTTCTCGTGTTTTTTATAAAAATGTTTGTTATAAATAATATATAAGTTTCATTGTAAATGGAATATAAATTGTAAATGGAATAGGTATAATTTATTAAAGTCTATGAAATTATTTACATTTCTGTACTTCTAAAAAATTATTCGATTTAATTATCTTATCTCCATTTGCAAGAATAATATTTTTATATCTATACTTCTCTATGTACATAATTTTTAGGTTTTAGAAACGAATGTGAATGTGAAAACCATTCAATAAATATTATCTACAAAAATATATTTAATTAGTCTACACAGTGGAAGTTAAATTTTATTTTTTTATCATGTAAATATCGCGTAAAATATTTTAATTATATACACTCACTATTGTTAGAAATGTCGAAAATATTTGAAAATTTCCCTGACATTTACCGTTATTGAACATGATAATCACGTGATTACATTAGACAATGATTGGACAAATTTTCGACGAAGATCTGACACGACAAACGCTACGAAGAAAAGTAAATAGATACAATTTAGCGAGTTTTCATTCGATTAGACAGTTTTTATATTCATCTCTTTAATCGTATGAAACATTTACATTGTATGAACGAAAAAATGTTCAATGACAAAGTTGAAAAAGTTCCGAAACCAACATGAGGAAATGATTTAAATTCTACTATTGTCACTTCCTGATACTTATGAATGAATGGTTCTTCTTTCAGAACACTTGTCAATAAGAAGCAATCCTATCAAAGATGGTGACACCAAATTTAACCACCTTGCTACGCAGAAGTTTATCTGCAATCAACTATCGCTACTTGGTATGTCATTATCACTTTGCACTTTATTGTAATATTATCAAGGTAAATTGTTTTTGGTTAGAATCATTAGATGCCATGTTCTGATGATTGTGCAATGTTACGTGATCAAACTTATGTTTGATTCATGGTTTAAATAAAGGTTTCGAATATCTTAAGAACGTCGTAGTTTAATAGTAATTTATAAATTAAGAAATTATATAGATAGAACACATCAATGTAAGCATTAAATAGACAGGAAGCAAGAGACGCGATAGTAACCTCCGTGTACAATCGATGTCGCGATAGCACCGCTCTTTTTGAATCGTGGATGACGAGCTACTGAGCTTAGCATGCAGGGTAGAATGATTACATCAGTCAGTCCAGCAATTGTTATCTAATTTAATGAGCACATGTGGCTTCAATTTTCTGATGCAACTTATATGGAGAATTCATCGAACTTCGTTTAAATTGAGAATCAACGTAGCCTATATTACAACGAGATTTGACATCGATTACAGTCACAGTATCTCTCACACGAGAGGTTAATATTGATATTTTTAGCCACATTCTTTTGACCCGTCTTTTAAATTACACACAGATAGGATTAAGATAATGTCATCGTCACACTGATTTGTATTATTAAGAAATTTTTATTTATAAACATTTCCAAGATTTGATCATTTTATAAAGTACATCATAAATTTTACGTAATTGAAAAAATTAGTAGCCCGATTTAAACATTAAGCATTAGATGTGACACGATAGGTATGAATAACATTTACCGTTAGAAGGTATTCTGTGGTGTTGCGTCTACGATTCTCACTACGAAGTGATAACCGACGGTAGTGGAAGGTGCACATAGGAATACTGAAGTAGTAGAATCGATAAATTAAATCGATGATTCAAGTGTGTTGAAAATGAAAGAAAAGAGATGATTTATAAGACGGGAGTAGAGGTGGTTGATGCCGCGGAGTAGGAAAAGGAGAAAGAGGAGGGACAGCATGGATAAAAAGTAGAGCTGACTGAAGCACGCCAACACTTGCCAACGGGTTATCTTTCGTTGAATTTGGAGTGAACCATTGTCACATTTTAATTTCATTGTTTTTCTTTTTTATTTTCTCGTCGTACATTAAGGTTAGTAATATTTTTAATATTTTTCGAATTTAATTTGTCTTATTTTTAACGAAACTTGTAGTATAATGAAAATCCATCTTTTCAATTATTATGTTTATTAATTAAAGTAGTGAATGAATTATTACAATGCAACA